GCCAAGTCTCCATCCACTTCATGGGCATTAAAATCTAACTCTCCATCCCTTGGACTGATACTAGGATCTGAAACCACTGACCACTCTACCTTTGATTTCTCCCCTTTACCTCCAGCATCTGGCGTTTCTTTCTCCTTCTTAGTCCTTGGCTGTGTACTAAAAGCCAGGTTTGTTTGCTGGTTTGTTGTGAGGCATCCGTATCAGCTGAGCTCACCAGGCTCCTGCTAGCACTAGTGATGAATTTTAAGCCTCTTGGAAGAGTGACGTCATACAAACTCTCGTGTTTTCTGCCATAACTTGTACAGCATGGGGCACACAGCAGTACTCACTAAAGAGTAATTCAATGGATAATGAATAAATGAATGGAGATCAAGAGAGCTCAGAAGAAAGCTGAACATCTGCTGGCTCAGTGGAGACACTTCCACAAGGCACTGAATGAATCTGGGAAATTAAGAATAAGCAGGGAGCAGGTACATGAAGTCCCTGTGCGTGGCCCTCTAAGTCACCATGGCCCCTGCCTCCCACTGCCCTATTAAATCCCAGGGACAACATGATTTCCCCGGCAGCTCCTGTAACAGAGCTGCCTGTTCAGTCTCTGATTCCACTTTAATCATCTTCTAGCTTGACTGCCTTCTCCTTCCCCTCCTGGAAGAGTGAACTGAGAACAAGCGTGGGTGGATTTCACACAATTTATCAAGCCAAAGTTTCAGCCAAGTATTGAAGACGGTGGTCTAAGCGAGATACTGCCTTGGCATAGGGACGCCACCGCAACCTGCTTCCTGTTTCTCTGCGTCTGTTCTCTGGGCCCTACACACGAGTACAGACAGCTGTTCGAAAGCACCAGTGCCATGAACAACAGGAAGCCGCATCCCTAACCTCACTGGGTGAACAGGTAGAACATTGGCTCCAACCAGCTACTTGTTTGAGGCCCCTGGATGGCGTAAGCGGTTAAGCATTCAGCTACTAACCAAAAACTTGGCTGTTCCAAACCACCCAGTGGCTGCACAAGTAAGACCTGCATGGCGATCTGTTTTCATAAAGATTGTTGTTGTTGTTGTTGTTGTCTGGTGCTGTCGAATCAATTCCAACTCATGACAATCCCGTGTGTTACATAGTAGAACTGCTCCATAGGGTTACATCCAAGAAAACTGTATGGAGCAGTTCTACTCTGTAACATAAAGGCTTGCCGTGAGTTGGAATCAACTAGATGGCAACAGGTGGGTGGGTTTGGGTTGAGCTCTCTACGGTTGCACACCCCTACCTGTCCAGCCTATAATTCATCAACGGCCCTTCTCTCTTGGCTACCTGAGTAGGAAGTTCTCATTTTCCACTGTCCTCCAGTCTCCCTCCTCCCACACCACCCCGGTCCCTAGCATAAGCAAAGGGCAGAGAAAGCCAAGAGTACAATCACAGGCACTTGGAAAGGAAGAATCCAAATTGCAAACTTTACATGGATTTGTAAGTGGGAAAATGGGCCAAAGGGTAGGGTCTGCTTGCAGAAGGCTCTTTTTCCCTTTCTCATTGGAGCCCCATCTTGGGATACTCTGTGCATATGACAGTGATGGTAGCAGAGCTCAACTTCGCCCCACAGTCTGTGACAGGGGTGGGTGGGATGTGGGGGCATAACCCCCTCCAGTGACATTTGCTGAGCAGAGGGTTTTGTGAGGCTGAAAATACTGACACCTGCTGCTCTCACCCAGTCCCAGCTAGGGGACCATGTTGAGGGTTTAGACAAAGTAAAGAGAATCTGTTTGGCCAAGGGAAGGGAGAAGCCAGGTTGGAGATATTTTTGCTCCACTTTCTTCAGAAGTATTTATAAAGATAAGCAGAAATTGCAAGTGACCGGGTAGAGGGGCACTGGACTTGACATGTGATGTCATGGGAAAGTGGCGCCACCAGACAGGTGCCTGGCCCGTGAGTGCCATGCCTGGGGCATGGCTGTCACTTGCTGGTACAGACCTTCTGTAGGGTGCACGGTTTCCTGTACTCTGGGAAGACCTGGCCTTTCATTGCTTATGAGGTCAGCCCCTCCAGCCTATTCAATCTCCCCAGGTACTGCTCGACTCTGGAGTTTCTCATGGTCCATTGAAGCCGAGACCAAAATCGTTGTGCCAAGGGGCAAAGAGCCAAACTCCCCCATCCCACACTCAGCGCTGGAAGAGCAGCGTAGAGGGCATTATGAGTCTTAATTCGCCTTTATTTGGTGGCATTTCTTATATCCTAAAGGCCCTTCCCCATCTTCCATCCCATTTGATTTTCACAATAGGCATCATTTTACAGATGACGCTGGAGATACGGCGAGGACGTGACTTGGAGTCTGACAGGCAGGAGTAAGATGCTGAGAAGTGGGAAAGTTTCAACCCAGAACATTCCAGCCTACACACATGTTCAGGGCTTCAAGGAGCAGACGTGACCCTGAACATGTAGCCTAAGAATTCGGTGACCAACAATGACTACACTTAGCACCCAGTCGCCCTGTATTGGCTGGGAAAATAGACTGAAGGACGTCATGTTGTAAAAATAGTCCTTATGGAACAAACAGGCCCATGGAAGTTCAGTCACCAGGGAAGGGCGGAAGAAAGGTTATGTGAGAAATTAGTTCCTGACACCATGTCCAAGAGATACAGGGTTGATTATTAGAGGTGGTGCCATTTCCTTAAAAAAAAAAAGATTTAGGATTGCACCGATCTGGAAACACTGGAATGAGCTAGATTTAGGGGACACAAACCAGTAGCACTTGGACCATGTGTTTTACCCAAATTATGGTTTTTAAAAATATATTTAAAAAATCAAACCAGTTGCCATCAAGTTTATGCCGACTTACAAGGCCCCAAGTGTGTCAGAGGAGAACTTGTTCCATAGGGATGTTTTTGTTGGTTTTTATTATGGTGAAAATATACACAACAAAACCTTCACCAATTCAACAATTCTCACGTTACAATTCAGTGACATTGATTACATTCTTCATCCAAATTATGTTTTTAAATAATTGTGAATTCAAATGCCTTTAGATAGGGTATATGCTGGTTTTTTAGAAGTTCACCTCAGTCCTTCCCATTGCCAACTGTCTTCTGATTGGTGCCACTCATTTTCCTTACCTCTTAGTCCCCTGAAGGCATGTGAGCTTGGCGCCCTTGGATGGGAGGCTCCACTCCTGGCCTCCTGGAGCCTGAGTACTCATGGTTTTATGTGCTCAGATGGACCACATAGAGCTCACCTCCGCAATGTCTCAAGGATAAGCCCCTGTGTGATCCCAGTGCTGCAACCTGACCTAAAAACTAGTAAACCAGTTGCTGTCAAATTGATTTGGACTCATGGCAACTCCATGTGTGTCAGTTTAGAACTGTGCTCCACAGGGTTTTCAATGGCTGACTTTTTGGAAGTAGATCAGCAGGTCTTTCTTCCAAGGTGCCTCTGGATGGATTTGAACTGTCAACCTTTCAATTAGCAACTGAGCTCATTAATTGTCTGTATGACCCAGGGACTCCACGGCCTGATTTAGGCCCTGTTACATTCAGGTGCAAGTAGAACAGAGGAAGAGTTTACAGGGCTTGGTGATTCATTGTGGAAGGTGAGGGGACGTGAGGAGTTGGGGATGACAGCTGAGCTTGGCTTGGTCATCTTGGTGCAAGTGGTGACAGGGAACAGGGGAGGAGAAGCAGGTTTTGCAGGACAGCAGATGGGGAAATAAACTTGACTTTGGAAATGTTCAGTGTGAGGATCCTTGAAACATCTAAGGGAGATGTCTGGACGGTAGCCAGACACAGAGGAATGAAGGTCAGGAGAAATCTAGGATAGAGATAGACTTAGGTGTCCCCAGCAAATACAGTCAATCCTTGTGACTCCCAATAGTTATGTCCTATGAAGTCACCATAAACACTAACTTAGCAAATACTGAACCGGTGCTCCTGGGGAAACACAGGTTTAGGTTCCCGAAAGCCTCTGGTCACAACATTTTTGTCAACCAATCAATACATAACCTTATCGTATGTGTGTTTCTGTTTAAAGACACCTCATTTAATTTATATTGTTGATTCATTAACACTGAACTCACGGCCAACGGCACTGTAACTCATGCTTTATCTAATATACGTATTTTCTCCGTAAGGGACACCACAGCCTTCTTGTGCTCAGGAACACTAGACAGCACTTCAACGCTATGCTTGGAGTCATTTAAAAGAGCAAAACCACCAAAAACAAAAAAAACCACAAAAGTGCAAAGAACATGGCACAGACTGTGAACAGGACACCTGTTTACAGTATAAGGGCTGAAACAAGAAGGCAGAGCGTCACCTTGTTCAGCCTCAGCTGGCAACATGTGTGCAGGGTGACTCAAATTTTTCTCCACTCTGCACATGTCCACAACTGACCATGAAGGCACCACAAGTATTGATTTTGGGGTTACAAATAAAAACAGAATCCGTGAATAATGAGGACTGACTGTAGATGGAAAGTAAAGTCACGGGAATGGGTAAGATTGCCCAGGGAGGTTGTCCAGGATGCTGAGAGATAGATCCCTGCAGAACGTCAACCTTTAAGAACGGGCCATAGGATGAGAATCTGCAAAGGAGCAGGCGTGAGAGGGGAGGAAACCAGGAGAGCCCAGGGTCAAGAAAGCCAATGGGAGGCCTTCAGAAAGGAGGGATCGGTTAACAGTGTCAAATGCTGCCTTTGTTATACCCTTTTGCTTTAGTCTTCATACATTCGACGGGCTTAGAGAACAGCATGCGATTATATCCACGCTCTGTTTGGAAAACGGTTCCCCATTAGACAGCTCATTTCAACTTGGCGCCAACTGCTTCTTTCCAGTATGAGCTTCACCTTACCTCTTCCCACCTCCACCAGTCTTGTCCCTGTGGGGCTGGGAGTGCTGAACGAATATGGGCAGACAGCTCACTCAGACCTTGAACATTAGAACCAGCCAGGTAACATGCAATTTCCCAGCACCACTTGGTGCAGTGCAAAGCTTTAGGGTGTCGGGTGTTCAGGTGTGGGATTACCTGGCACTCTCAAAGGTGGCAGATGCAGTCTTTTCTATGGCCCCAAATCCAACTCCAACAGCAAGGCCCTCTGAAACAGACATAAAAGAAAAAACACCAAGGGTTAGGAATAATTTTCCCGTAAGGTATATCACCATTACTGTATCAGGTAAGACTGCATTAGACCGCCAGAAACAGAAAAGACACAAAGCAGGAGTTTAAACCAACGAAACCAGCCGTTACTGAGTTGATTCCAACTCATAGTGACTATATCGGACAGACTAGAACTGCCCCACAGGGTTTCCAAGGCTGTAATCTTTACGGAAGCAGACTGCCACATCTTTCTCCTGTGGAGCAGCTGGTGGGTTCGAACCACTGACCTTTTGGTGAGCAGCCAAGCACTTAACTATTGCACCACTAGGGCTCCTGTGAGTTTAAACCAGGGACCAGCAAACTATGGCCCGCAATCCAAATCAGGCTTACAGCCTGTTTTAGTATGGCTGACAAGCTAAGAACAGTTTTTACATTTTCAAATGGTTGAAAAAAATCAAAGAAATCATAATATTTCATGCGCATGAAAATTTTATGGAATTCAGATTTTAGTGTCTGTAAAGTTTTATTGGCACATAGTCACGCTCATCGTTGGTACACAGTCTGTAGCTGCTTTCACGCTATAAGGGCAGAGTTGAGTCATTGTGACAGAAAAACTGTATGGCCCAAAAAGTCTACAACATTTACCCTCTGGCACTTTATAGAGTTTGATGACCCCTGACCTAAACACGCAAGGCTTTTGCTGTCGTTGTTAGCTTCTAACCAGTTGATTTTTGACTCATAGTGACCCCATGTGACAGAGTAGAACTGCCCCTTAGGTTTTCTAGGCTGCAATCTTTATGGCAGCAGATTGTCAGGTCTTTCTTCCACAGAGCCACTGGGTGGTTTTGAACCACAAACCTGTTGGTTAGCAGCCAAGTGCTTAGCGTTGTACCACCAGGGCTCCTTAGGGCTTTGTTTAGCTCCTTCAACAAGAAGCCCAGGGTTTATACGGTGGCCCAGTGATGTCACTGCAGATCCAGGCTCCTTCCATCTTTCTGCTCCCTCAGCCTCCCAATTTGGTCCTCACAGTTGCACAGTGGAGTCCCCGGGTGGTGAAAATGGCTAAAAGGCTCAGATGTTAACCGAAAAGTTGGAGGTTCAGGTCCACCCAGAGGCACCTGGAAAGAAAGGCCTGGCAATCCACTTTCAAAAAACCAGCTATTGGAAACCCTATGGAGCACAGTTCTACTCTGACACACATGGGGTCGCCATGAGTTGGGGTGGACTAGACAGCAACTGGTTGGTTAGTTGCAAAGTGACTACACCATCATCAGGCATTTCACCTATATCCTAGGCAGGAAGAAGGAAGAAAGGCAAAAACTTTTCTTTAGTTGAGTCATTGTCTCATTGTTTGGGAAGGGAAGTACTTCCTGCCAGTTTCCCTCCTACCTCCTTGGCCACAGCGGAAGAACACGCCCACCCTGAACCGATGGCAGGCATGAGTGTCCTACGTGAGGCCCTGATACAGGTTAGGGTTGAATTTCAGGATGGCAGCAATGGCTATGTCTAAGGTTGTCAGAGATGGCTTTCCATCATGGTGGAGGTGGCCTCCTTTTGTGCAACCCTGAATCTCTGGAGCTGCCCACGCTCATGGTCACCAGAGTAGAACGTTAGATGCCACCATCTGGCCAGTCTCCTGTCTTCAGGGAGTCTAACGTTTACAAGCCTGCTGTTCCCAACCCTGTTTGTACCAACGCAGAGGAGACTACAGCCCACCCCCCTCAGTAACACTGGGTCTCTAGGGCCAAATTCTTCACCCGGGACCCCTGGTCCACTAGGGAGAGGAGCCAACAATTGGGGAGGGACTGAGGGGAGTCTCATGACACCAGAGGAGGTATCCCTCCCAATGGAGAAAATCACTTTCGGAAACCATAAAGAACAGCTGGTTGGTTCTTTTGTTAAAGTTCTGCTCACATTAAAAACTTGTTGCTGGTCATGGAAGCTCCATAGATACATCCAAACTCCCTGAGGGACCGAATTACTGGGCTGAGGGCTGTGGGAACTATGGTTTTAGGGAACATCTAGCTCAATTGGCATAACGTAGTTTATAAAGAAAATGTTCTACATTCTACTTTGGTGAGGTCTTAAAAGCTTGTGAGCAGCCATCTAAGATACTCCACTGGTCTCATCCCATCTGGAGCAAGGGAGAATGAACCAACCAAAGACACAAGAGAAAGATTAGTCCGATTAGTCCAAATGACTAATGGACCACAAGTACTATAGCCTCCACCAGACTGAGTCCAGCACAACTAGTTGCCCAGCTACCACCGCCAACTGCTCTGACAGGGATCACAATAGAGGGTCCCGGACAGAGCTGGAGAAAAATGCAGAACCAAAGTCTGACACACACACAAAAAGACCAGAGTTATTGGTCTGACAGAGACTGCAGAAACCCCGAGAGTATGGCCCCCAGACACCCTTTTAGCTCAGTAATGAAGTCACTCCTGAGGTTCACCTTTCAGCCAAAGAGTAGACAGGCCCATAAAACAAAACGAGACTAAATGGGCATACCAGCCCAGGGGCAAGGACAAGAAGGCAGAAGGGGACAGGAAAGCTGGTAGTAGGGAACCCAAGGTTGAGAAGTGGACATGTCGTGGGGTTGGCAACCAATGTCACAAAACAATATGTGTACTAATTGTTTCATGAGAAACTAGTTTGTTCTATAAACCTTCATCTAAAAGTACAATTAAAAAAAAAAACACAGATTGCCATCGAGTCGATTCCAACTCACAGTGACCCTATAGGACAGACTAGAACTGCCCCAGAGGGTTTCCAAGGACCATCTGGTGGATTCGAACTGCCGACCTACCAGTTAGCAGCCAAGCTCTTAGCCACTGCGCCACCGGGGCTCCTTGCTCACATTAGTCATTTTAAATGCAAATGATTGTGCAGCCCAGGGCAACAGGACCTACACTAATTAGCAAAATAACCCCTTCCACTTACTTAGCAGGCAGCCCAGCACTTTGACTTAAGAAGCGCTCACAACATCTCTGTGGGGAGGCTGGGGAGGGAAGGCCCCGTTATCTGATAAGGAAACAAGGGCTGGCTGGCAAGGGGCAGAGCCAGGGCTTGAACCTCAGTCCCCTGCTCCCCTCTCCACGAGTGGCCTTGCTGGCCCAGTTCGCTGACCTGGTCTTGTGGTTTCCCCTGAGGTGTGATGTGTGATGGGCTATAGGAGGTGAGCGCTGGCATTTGGGTCTCTGTGCCCCAAAGCAATTCTGGGCAAAATGAGCCCGTTGTCTCCCTCCCTTGCCACGTGCCTTGGCCATGTCAACAGCAGCGGACCCATTTCACAAAGGAACATTCTGTGATGGGCAGCAAATGAGCCCTTCTTTGCTGAAGCCCTGGGCGAAGGAACCACCCCCCTTCCCCAAAAGCACCCGCTACCCAAAGAGGCTGTCAAGGCAGCCCCACTCCCCACCCCAATTCAGAAAGGGAAAGAGGAAGAAGAGGCAATGGGAGAAGAATGAAAAAAAAAAAAAACACCAAACCTGTTGCCGGCGAGTGGATTCCGAGTCATAGTGACCCTGTAGGAGAGAGCAGAACTGCCCCATAGGGTTTCCAAGGAGCTGCTAGTGGATTTGAACTGCCGACCTTTTGGTGAGCAGCTGACCTCTTAACCACTGCGCCACCAGGGCTCCAATGGGAGAAGAGAATGTAATAATTACCAACCTTGTCTGAAGGCGGGAGTGACACCTGAGAGCTAAACTAAATGAGAAACCAAGACAAATGCCACACACAGAAAGAACATAAATAAGAGAATTACGGCAGATGCTGCAGATCAACAGATGGCAGAAAGAGCCCGCTGGGGGGAAAAGGAATGGAGGGAAAACGCCCACTGGAGCTCACAGGCCAGGTGTTCCACCAAAAGTGCAAATTAGGAAGGTAATTAAGACAAGAAACCAAAGTGACTGGAATATAATTAGCACGCGCTGGGCTCTTTTCACAGCTTCTGCCATTAACTGAGGTGCAAAGAGATGCAAAATCAACCACCCAAGAGGGGAAGGCTGGGGAAGAGGCAGCCTTGAGGGCAAACCTGGAAACGAGCATCAAGGCTGAACCAGCCCACTCCTATCTTCCCAGGCTCGGGAGGTGGGTGGGTGTGTCTGCCTCTTTCCATCCCCCCATCCTTTCGGATTCTCTCTCTGCTCGTCCTCGTCACAGAAAAGAAAAATAGAAAGGGCATGGACTTCAGGGTAACACAGACCTGGCTTCAGATCCTGGCATATCACTTAATGTTTTTGCAAAAATGAAAAGATAACAGTGCTTTGCTTACAGGATGGTTGTAGTACATCAAATGTGCATGATGTACCCAGATCATGGTTTCTCACTACTGACATTTGGCCGTAGGGGACTGCCCTGTAAACTGATATTTAGCAGCATCCCTGGCCTCTACCCACTGGATGCCAGTAGCACCCCTTCCTCCCAAGTTGTGACAACCAAAAGTATCTCCAGACATTGCCGAAGGTCCCCTGGGGGACAAAATCACCCCCAGTGGAGAACCTCTGACCTAGAACACGGTAGGCATTCCATTAATGTTGAGTTTTCCTCTCTTCCTCCACACAAAGAATTCTGTTAATGAGGTCATGCCCATGCAGGGTGGGTCCTTAACTTAATCCCTTCTGAGTTATAAAAACAGCAGAACAGACACAGAGACACACACAGTGGGGAGAGGAAGAGATCACGGAGACAGAGACATCTACAAGCCCAGGAACGCCAAGGATTGCTGGCAGCCACGACAATCTGAAATAGATAAGGAAGAACCTCCCCAAGAGCTACACCCTGAATCCAGACTTCTAGCCCCTGAATTTGAGAAAATTAATTTCTGTTCTGTAAAGCCACCCACTTGTAGTGTTTCTATTACGGCAGCACTGGGGAATAAAGACACTGGGGCGGGGGGGATAATATGCTGGGCGAGCGGCAATTCCAATAGTGATACTGTTGGGGGGGGTTCCTGGCCATAAAGGCTTGGTTCAGCCATCAGGAGAGACAATGCCT